GTACCAAAGTGCCTTCTCTTAGGCAGGGATGGGAGTTCTCCCCTGACACCCAGGTTGGCTTCAGCATCCTGCATCCTGGTTCTGCTCTCAATCCGACAGACTCTTTTTGTCCATATGAGGCAGCAGTGCCCAAGCAGTGCATCCAATGCTGGGTTCCTATTATTCTGCCTGATCAGAGCCTACTTGCCAGTGTTCCCTACAGACTAACAGCTCTCTCGAGTGACAGGTGACGCTGCTAGCTGAAGAAATTACAACCTTTTGCCTCATTGCATCTGAGAGATCAAGATGGATCATCAGTAGCGCTCTGCTGGAGCCATTTGAGAAAATTTGGCCAGGGTTCTATTGTTGCTGCATTTGCTCAAACCTGCATGGTCTGATCTGGACATATGGTCTCAATGTGGCTGCCAGTGTTCCTGTCTGGACAGGAAGGACATAGGCTTCATAAGTTGGACTGAGTGAACATCCTTGAATGGGTCATTCAACACATCTACCTTACCGCAGAAATAATGCTAGCCCTTTGTACAATGGCCTCCTCCCCTGCAAAAAAAAAACAACAGAATTATCTTCTGTGGGGAGGGCCCCTTGTAGTACAGGCCTCCCCCCCACACGTGAGTGTTCTAGGAATTCATCTGTATCAGTGTACCAGCTGGTATTGTTGTTTGGCTGCGTTTGGCTTCAGTGAATTTTTTTTTTGAAGACTCTTTCCATTTGTTTGCCCACTTCATGATGGGTGATTTATGAGTACACCTGCCCACACTGTGCTGAGTGCTCAGCAGTTTTTGACCAAAAACGGCATGACTCTCGTGCCCCACCCTCCCTATCCTCCCGATCTAGCCCTGAGTGACTTTTTTTGTTTGCCTGAATGAAAAAAGTCCTTAAAGGGAAATGTTTTGCTGATGTAGAAGAAGTGAAACAAAAACCAGCAGAAGCACCAAAAGGCATCAAAATCGATAAGTTCAAAAACTGTTCTGAGCAGTAGAAAAAAAAGTCTCGATGGGTGTATCGCATCAAATGGAGAGTACTTTGAAGGTGACTCAAGTTTAAACATATAAGAATAAATACATAATTTTTATAAATAAATGTCAGGGTTTTGGGGCTCAATTATGAGTGTTTTTATGTGACAAAAATTTAAACAGAAAATATAGAACTCCACTCATCCTGCTTGTGCTGTGGCCCCAGCAAAGCTACACGCTGGCTGTCCCAGTCCTAGGAAAGTTCATTGTCAGTGCAGGGCACGCCCAGGCCTTCTCATTCAGCTGCGGAAGTAATATCAGACACGGAAGGAAGGCTCTGGGTTGGGGAAGGCTGGCGAGTGGAAAGAAGGATCGCCAATGCTTTTGTGCATAGAAGGGAAAGCAGAGGAACAAGCCTGCCTCTCTCCGGGCCTTCCACTGGGCAAACAGCCCCCGAGGCCTCCTAACCAGTCAAGTGTCAAATCTGCTCTGCACTTGGCAGGACATGGCCATCTGGGCTGCTGCTAGACCTGTGACGCTGAGCCCCTTTCTTCAGAGTTGAACAAAAGACCGGGGGGGAATCAGTGGCTTTTTTTTCCACAACAAATTCATCCAAAACCCTGGACACCAGCCTTTGAGCAAGTGAGATTTGCTTTAAGGTTAGAGATGAAAGTGGTAATGTGCCGCCTTTCCCTTCTTCTCCGGCCCATGGCCACCCTGTGGTGGGCCCCTAGCCCCCTGATGTACTCCAGGCTCATTAGCCAAACAGTTGTTCCCCATTTCAGAAGGGCTCCAAGTTGTGTGAACCTACTTCCAGAGACAGGTAAGTGTAGGCAATGGCTACTATTTGCCTCATTTGCTGCTGACCTAAGAGATGCTGTATAGGCATCTTTGGGGGACCTAGAGCTGTCTAGGAGGGACTGCTGGGGAGAAAGAGACTGGTATGGCAGCACACCCAGGTAGGGGCAGCCGCTGCCCAGGTGTGGTACATGGTCCATCATTCCTTCCTAGCCAGAACTCCAGCCAAACAGGTGTGCAGTGATGCGGACCCTGGCTTGTGGGGTCTGCAACAGGAGACCATTCTGCGTGGCATGGGCCCAGCTCCCACTCAGAGATGCACAGCACCCATGTCCATGGATAGGTTCTCCTACAGTGCAAGGCTTCTGCACCCGCTCCTAGGAAAGTGACAGGCAGTGTGAGGATTGTACCATCTCTTGATTCCTAAACATCCTTAGATTTCACCTCTGACCTATACTCCTCACATGATGGAGGATGGTGATGCTGGTGGATATCGTCACCTTTCAGAGTAGTTTAGCTCCTGCTCCAGCCCAGCTACAGCCACAACTATTAATAGCCATAAGATATTAATATCTCCTCCTCCCATGAGTTTCTCAGATGCCATATTTCCAACCTTAGCTCCTAGCTATACTCTGGCTTTGGAGGATGTGGGTCAAAGCCCTTTAAATACAAAGTCACTTGCCCAGTATCCACTAGTTACAGTAAATCAGTTGGTTACTCAGAGTAGCTATGTGACCGTATCTCCTACCAGCAACAGGATTATTCAGACTACTCACCATTACCAAATTCACATACAACTCAAATCCACGTAGGACACACTCCCCTTCTCAACCTGGACCTCCTCATTCCATCCCACTCATGCTATTTCTTTTACTTCTGGGCTCCAGTGACATACTGAGAGAACAGCAGGCCAACTGGGGTCTTGGGCACCCAAAGGAGATATGATCAGGCCCTCCTCCAGTTCAGCACCTGCCCGTTTGCGCCACTACCTGGAGTCCTTCAAGGGACGGGTCACCAACTCAATGTGTGCGGACCCTTCCTACAACCACTCCCTGTGAATCTAATTCATCTTTAAATGTCCCTTGTTGCCCTGGCTGGGTTGCTCAGTGGATTGAGCACTGGACTGTGAACTAAGAGGTTGCTGGTTTGATTCCCAGTCAGGGCACACGCCTGGGTTGCAAGCCAGGTTCCCAGTGGGGGTGTGTGAGAGGCAACCGCAGACTGATGTTTCTCTCTCTCCCTTCCTGTGAAAGAAAGAAAGAAAGGAAAGAAGGAAAGAAAGAAAAAGAAAGAAAAAAAGAAAGAAAGAAAGAAAGAAAGGAAGAAAGAAAGAAAAATATCCCTTGCTCTCTCTCTGACCACTGAGATGCTGCTCCAACCCTCTGTCCTTGTCAGAACAGATGTCCTGGGTCAGAGAACCACACTGTAACGAGACCTGCTGGATGCCCAACGATGCGGTGGCCAGATAAAGTCACTAGGCTACTGGCAAAGGTTCAGCCCAGGGAAACAGACATGGGAAACCACTTCTTACTTCTAGAATATGCTTGAAGAGGTTCAAGTTTTCCATCAGGTGAAACTCATTCCACCTGTTGACGAAGAGGGGCGGGGGAGAGAGATACTAGATTAGTGTCTGTTTCTGTGTCTGTAACTGTTCTCTCTCCACCTGTGACCTGGGCCAATGATGTTCCATGAAAGGGCCCCTCCCTCATGCACCATGGACATATGGAATTCCTGCATGTGCTTTCTCGGATCTCACGTGACCTCTGATGTAGACCTTTAATTTTCAGATTGACTATTGCTCTCTAGCTAGTCCTACGGATTAATTGTTTAGACCATTGATTTCCAAGGCTACCTTGCCTAGGATGTGCCTGGGGGCCTGTCCCAGCTTATCTCTTGGGTCCACTTTGGTCCTTAAGACCTCGGCATGAATCAGAGCCCTGGGCCCCTCACTCATGGGAAGGAAAGGGGGTCTGTCTGTCTGGTTGTTGAGTTAGAAGTGCCGATGGAAATTGTCTGGTTTTTGTGCTTCTGAAAAAGGCCTAAGCTGGTGCTAAAGATCTGGCAGTCATTAGTGCATTAGAGGTGGTAGTAGAAGCCACAAGTGTGGGTGAGTTGCCAGGTACAGTGAGCTTTATGAGAAGAGAATAAAGGATGAAGCCTTGAGAGGACCAAGAGGAAAAGGGAGAAAGGTCAGGTAGAGGTGCCTGCAAAGAAGACTGAGCAACTGGAGAGCCTGTAGCAAAACTAGGAGAGAGAAGCTCCACTGAAACTGTGAAGAAACTTCAGAGAAGGAGGGAGGAGTCAGCAGTGTCAAATGCTGCTGAGAAGTCTTGTAAAATTAGGTCTGAATTAGAGTCAACAAGTGTGAAGTCCTGGAAACCTTAGGACTAGCTCCTTCAGTCGTTGGAGCAAAAGTGGGTAAATTGTATGCTATGCTGGGCAGCACAGAGAACGCTGGAAACCAAAGAAGGATCTCTGCCTCTGTTGACTGGCTATCCTCACTCCCTTCTGTTTCCATTATGTTTCTCTTAGCGGGTACACCCCAATACATCTCTAGTCTGGATCAATACAAGAGTTTGAGTTCTATTTTAGCACCATAAAAACTACAAAAGGTTTTTGGGGGGTTCATATATAGTACTATCTCAGTTTACCTTCAGGTTCTGAGTTTACAAGCTGGTAAACACTTTAACTGGTTCAACATATTATAAATTGGGCTTTTCATAACAATTTTAGTCACATCACAAATTCCACTGAAAACAACTAGCTGCAGTGAACAGCAGCCTCAGCCTTCCTTGCGCCCTCCAGTCACCTCCACTTCCCATCACCGTCCCTGATTTTTCTTAACTCTTGGCTAGCTTCACTTATCAAAGATTTAATTATTGAGCAAAAACAATTACGCCATACATTTATACCATGATTTCACGTTCATTTACAAAGTACCTTCCATTACCTCTCACAGAACCTGCAAAAAATAGAGGGCAGTGCAGCTGAGCCTCCTGCCGGCGCCTCAGCGCGCTGCAGCTTCACGGGTGCACTACCGCTCGGCTCCCGCTCGTCCCGAGCCACAGGGGACTCGGGCGGGGGGGGCGGGGGGGGCGGGGCGAGTGCCACCGCAAGGCTTCTTGGGAAATGTCTTGGGTGCACGAGTTGGAACTACAAATCCCGGTGGGCACCGCGCTGCAGCCCCGACGAGGGCGCGCTGGTGCATCTGAATCTTTTTTGTCAGTGCCATTGGGAATGCTGCACAAACCTCGTTCAGTACCACAAGAGGGAAACAGAATAGTTCTGCCAGGTGCGCACGAATGGATTTGAGTTCTGCAATTTCTTCGGACTTGCTCGAGGTGACGAATCTGCCGTTACGGCACAGTGCCTGGGCACGCAAAGTCCGAACGTGAAGCTCGTGGAATCTGCTGCGGGAGGAAGGACGCCAGGGTTTCTTGGGCAACTGCAGTCATGGCGGCCTCACCGCCCAGTGCCGGTGGCTCCGAACCTGAGGCGGCGGGTTCCACCGAAGCTCAGCTGCAGTACAGCCTTCTTCTCCAGTACTTGGTGGGTGACAAGCGTCAGCCCCGGGTCCTGGAGCCTGGAAGCCTGGGCGGGATCCCAAGTCCAGTCAAGAGCGATGAACAGAAGATGATCGAGAAGGCGATGGAAAGTTGCGCCTTCAAGGCAGCGCTAGCCTGCGTGGGAGGTGAGACAAGGCGAGGGGGCGCCCTTGGGAAGCTGAGGGTTTGGGTGGCAGCGGGGTCCGCTGGCAAGAAAGCCACGCGCCCGAAAGGCGAGGAGCCTCTGGGCCTCGACCTTCACAGCACCCGCGCCTCGTTCAGTGACCTCCCTCAGCAACGCTCTCTAGTCCTGGGAACTGGATCAGAGAATCGGTACGATGGGTCGGGGCCTGGAACTTATAAGATGGCTGGCTTCGTTCATTATTCGTTTAGTCACTTTTAAATAATCACTTTAAATAAATTTTACCGAGTGCCATCACGTGCCAGGCGGTGGAGAGACTGGATGAGAGACAAGAGGCTTGTTCTCGCGAACGTTCTTATGTTTATATATTGAAGAATGCTGCAGGCATTGGGAATGGCAAGTGCAGAGGTCTGGCGGGAGTTGGCTTGAGGTTTGAAAACGGGCCATTGTGGCCAGTGGACTAGACAGCAGTCAGCAAAGGGTAAAGAAGTGTGGACTGGGTTTTAAAAAAAACAACCACCAAAAATCAAAACCTTTTGAGGATATGGGAATGTACAGTGCCCCTCCTGTGTGCAGAGTAAAGAGATTGACCACGTTGGTAGATGAGTTGAAATCTCATTGAGAATGACAGACAAATGAATATAGCGAGAGTGCAGATGTGAAAGTAAAGTGGAAAGAAAAAAGAGAAAGCATTTTTTGGTTTGGCTGGCAGGCCACAAGAGGTGGTGAGACTGGAGCTGTGTCTTGAAGGATTGAGAGAATGGGGGTTGACAAAGAGGAAGAGAAATGGCATTTCAAGTTGGGGTGGAGTGGGGGATTTGGGCTTTAGGCCTATAGGCATTAGGGCAGTGATCGATGGTGTTTTGTTTTTTTTTTTAATAAGATTTTATTTATTTATTTTTAGAGAGGGAAGGGAAGGAGAGAGAGAGAGACAGAGAGATCCATCAATGTGTGGTTGCTGGGGGCTGTGGCCTGCAACCCAGGCATGTGCCCTGACTGGGAATCGAACCTGCGATGCTTTGGTTTGCAGCCCGCACTCAATCCACTGAGCTACGCCAGCCAGGGCATGGATGGTGTTTTTAAGGAGAGTAACAAGTGGTGATGGGCATGACTCAGGATGGAGTGTGGTGAGGGGAAGAAAAGTGTGGATGGGGCGACCAGATGGGCAATTTGCTGGACTGAAGGTTCATGAGGTATGGACCGGATCTTTGTTCATCATGGTGCTTGACCTTGATATATCACTTACCTGTTTGCTGAAATGAACGAGTCTTTGTAGTGCTCGGCGGTGGAAGTGATAAAGACCCCAGACTCCATGATAGCTGTGGACGTGAAGTTGCAGGGGTAAGCAAAGAAACAGAAATGCAGCTAGGTTTGCTGCGGGAGTGACTGGAAAGAAGGAGCCACAAGGAAGAAAATGGAGAAGGTGCCCATGATTTCATTGAACATGCACAGTTGACTCTAGAGCAACACGGCTTTGAACTGTGTGAGCCCACATGTGTGCAGATGTTTCTCATTAAATACCTGTCCTGTTTTCCATCCTCCTTTGGGAGTCCACAGATGTAGTTGACTTCCTGTATGCACTGGTCTGCATCTTTTTATATAAGGAACTTGAGCACCTGTGGATTTTGGCATTTGTGGGGGGGCCTCAAACCAATCCCCCACAGATAACAATGGACAACTAAGGGTAAAAATTTTATTTTTGAGTAACTTCACGCTGCACACTTTCCAAGAGAGTCGTGTAAGAAAGCAAAAAATCCTCTCCTCATCCTAGAAATAAATAAGAAGGGCATAAAATTTCTCTTTAAATTACAACACTTGGAAATTTAGCATCAGCATCCAAAATTAACAGAAGCGGGAGTGGGGGAGAAGGCATTTGCTATATATTTCAGATTTCTTTGGTTGGGGTTCTCCCCATGTGGTATTAATATTCCATCTTTCATATTACCAAAATAGTAAAAACCAGGGAAAAAATGCAGACCTAGTGGTTGCTGAAATAGGAGGTGGCTCTCGTCCTCTGTGCTGGCATTCCCGGAAGAACTGCTGGGAACACTGGCTGACAGCCCCCGTTTGTACTTGTTTCATAAAGAACAAGTGTAAACATCCCAGTTCCACATCTTTGTTACTAGTCTTCCATCTTACTGCTTTGGTGTTGCTAAGGTCGTGGTCTACTTTTTGTTTTATTTTTTGAATGGTCATTAATACTTTAGGTCATCTGATGGCGAAGGTGCCTGGGGAGCCTGGTGCTACTCAAAACTGCACTGCTCAGTGGCTGGAGCGGGGCTCTTAGATGGCCCTTCACCTGCCTTGGTCTCTTTGCCATCTTGTGAAGGAGCATTAGGAGGACAGGGGTGACGCTGACAGTTGTAAGGCGCTGGTATCCCTGGTGAGTAGGTGCCTGGTGTGGACCATTGCCGCTTGTTCACTCTCTTCACCTTCAGCCTCTCCCACAGCTGGGGCAGGTCGTGGGCGAGGAGGTCCCCTGCGTACCTTGGATGGTAAGCTGGATTTTGTTGAACTGGTCCCTGAAGCTGTGCTCCCTCTGGGACTTCATCCTTCATCTCTCCAATCTCACCAGCCTGCATTCTGTTGGGATGGAGAAAGGCCTAGGAGTGAAGGTCAAAGGTCTGTCCCACGTGGTAGAGTGGGAACCCGGCTGGTACTGAGGGCAATACTAGGGCTGTGCAGCTGACTCTGGCCCCCACAGAACTGCCAGTCAGTGGCAGGGGGGTCATCATCTTCACTGCTGCCCCCCTTTCCTCCTCTTTCACAGCGTTAATTATGGGGTGGCCCACGGCATCTGCCATAGTAGCCACGTCTGTTACAGTGCAGGTCAGCAGCCTGCCCACTCCCTTCTGCAGGAACTGCATCCGGGCAAGTCATATCAGTGCGTCAGCACCTCCTCTCCTTCAGCCACATCCACCTCGACAGTTTCTCCCTCTCCTGCGCTGCGCAGATCTTTCTGTGGGTTATTCTTGATGGCAGTCTGATGTACAGACACACCTTTGGTGTCATTTCAGTGTATAAATCCATATCCATTTCTGATGTTGAACCATTTGACAGTGCCAGGGACTTTGGTGGCGAGGATTTTTTGGCTCTCTTTTCACCGCTGGAGGCTGCCGCATCCCCACCAAGGTTTCCTGCAAGGATGATGGGGGCCCTTGGGCTCTGTTGGAGCCTGTGGGAGGGCGGTGGTGGCAGTGGCCTCGCCTCTGTGGCTCATGCCTCCTCCTTTGCTTTCACTCGGGCACCACAGTGGTGGGTGGTTAGCGCGGCTAGTGGCCAGGACGGCCTGGCTGGCGGGTTGCGTGCTGGCTCTTGGGCTCCTCACTGCATCTTATGGGGACAAGTTTTGGGGGAGTCAAAAGTTATGTGTAAGTTTCTGACTATGGGGTGCTTGGCACCCCTAACCCTTGCATTGTTCAAGGGTCAACTGTATTGACCTTACAGTGATAAGAGGACATGTGTATGGAAATGTCCAGCCGGCTCAGCAAGGTCAGATGTGGACAGTAGTGTGGCATTTGCCATTTGGTAGCTTTGTGACTTTAGGGAAGTTACTTAACCTCTCTGAGTTTAACCTCAGTTTCTTCAGCCACAGAAAAGAGGATAATAGCATCTACCCCACAGATTACTGTGGAGGATAAATGAGGCTGTAACTATCAGGTGTCTGAGTAACTGGCACATGGTGTTTACCAAATGGCTGTTATGAACATGACCATTGTTAAGGGAGTGATTTGCAAAGTTGGTAGCTTAATCCAAGGGTGACTGGCGACATGCGAGAGTGTGGAGAGGGAACAGAGGGTTAAAGACTGAATCCTGAGGAATACAGCATTAGAGAATGAAATGAGGAAGAAATCCAAGAGGAGACAGGGAAGAAGCAGTCGGTAAGATAGATCCTGGATTGTGTAATGTGGAAACCGGGCAGGTGGCGGGCTTGGGTGGCAAGGGGAGTGGGGGGCTCTTCACCGGTGGCCACCCAGAAGGTGCTGTGTGCGTATGACCCCGTTACAGTAATTCAGAAAGCATGTCAAAGAAATCTTCATCTCTGTTTGTTTTCAGGATTTGTCTTGGGCGGTGCATTTGGGGTGTTCACTGCCGGCATCGACACCAATGTGGGCTTTGACCCCAAGGACCCTTACCGCACTCCGACGGCAAGAGAAGTTCTTAAAGACATGGGGCAGAGAGGAATGTCCTACGCCAAAAATTTTGCCATTGTGGGCGCCATGTTTTCTTGCACTGAGTGTTTGGTAGAATCTGTGAGTGTCTCCACCTTCTGAGAAATCCTTGCCCACTGCCATCTTACAACTTCTAAGGAGAAGTACTCATCTTAATGTTAATTAGAAAACAGATTGAAATGTCCGAAACTTTCTAGATTAGACTTCCATTAAGTAGCCCCTAATGTAAATGTTTTGTGTCCATGATTTGGGCTTGCACAATTCTTTACTTCTTTGTGTAGGCCAGAGTTGGTTAATGACTTTAATCGCAGACTTAGTGGGGAAAGCGAGAAGAGAGTTTGATCACTTCTCGAACACTGTGCTCGGTCTCAGTGCTCTCGGACCACCAGCAGGAAGCCTCTATGAACACATCCAAATTTTAGAAACTGTACTTTTGAAAGAGAAAAAGATTAGGTTTCCCTTGGGAGGGACTACATTAGCCAGCTAGAAACCCTGTGCTTTTCTTCTTAACCGTCTTGTCTGGCTTGTTTCTTTGGCTCTGAACCGCACCTCTGCCCCCGCAGTACCGGGGAAGGTCCGACTGGAGGAACAGTGTCATCAGTGGCTGCATCACCGGAGGAGCCATCGGTTTCAGAGGTCAGTAAACACCCTGCAGTGGTTCTCCTTGTGGCCTTGGACAGTAGGCTGGAGGTGACATTTCTGAACATAGGAGTGTTCCAGGGACAGCCCCAGGTATATGTGGACAGTTGATACTCTTCCCTTCAGACAAATTAATCATGTTTGCTTATGTGTCCAACTCAATTCCGGAAGTTTCGGGGTTTCTTCTCTTGGCACTACTGACATTTTGGACCAGATAAATCTTTGCTGGGGGAGGGGAGGTTGTCCGTGTGTTTAAGGGTGTTTAGCAGCACCCCTGGCCTCCACCCACTCCATGCCAGTTGTGAGAGCTGAGTGTCTCCAGACATTGCCACACGCCCCCTGGGGCAAAATCGCTCCCAGGTGAGAATCGGTCCAGGTCTGTCTGAGAGGAGAGAACTGCCCCCATATCGGAAACACGGGCAGGACTTCCTCACAGCGATCCCCTGAGTGCGCTGAAATGCAGGATGGTGTGGGAGCACAGCTAGGCCCCATCGAGCCCTGGAAAGCCCATTTGTCTACACGTCGTGCTGAAATGTCAGCTCCGGACATTTCCATTATTTAGACATTTTTCTTAATAATTTTGTGTATAAGTTACCTCAGTAATGTCTAAAGCCTAATGTAGGTATTCAAGAAATGTTATCGGTTGTAAACATCGAAGAAAGAAACCAGTTCCCCGCCACTTCTCCCCGTCGGCGGTCCCGTCAGGAGTGTGCTGCAGGGGGCCAGTGACTTGACTTGCTTTAACAGGGTCCACTGCTGGGCCGCTCCCTCTGCTGCGCCTCGACTGACCCGAGGCAAAAAGCCTGTTTTCTCATTTTCTGGGAGGCAAGATGGTTGGCTGTCATTACAAACCTGCTTTTGCTCCTCAGACAGCCATTCATGATTTAGAGGGTGACTTTTCCTTTGGTCCAGCTCGGCTTTGTGGGGCCCTCGGGAAGCCCGCCCCTCCAGGACGGCTTTGATCGCCGTCCCAGGAATCCCGTCCATAAACAAGTCCGAGCGGCAGGCCATGTGCTTTCACTTGATTCTAAGGGCTGGTTTTCTTAACCAGTTTCCTGCCTCCGAGGGTCTATTTTCATGAGACTGGCAACAGTAATTCTCTGGAATGAGGACAGTGAAGCCAATGCACAGTGCAGCTGAGGCACACTGGGTCAGGTCATGTGCACGGCCCCGCTGGAGCCGTGCGGGTCTCTGGTGGGCCGAATGGCGGGGAACGCTCGAGCGGGTTTCTTTGCGTCTGTGGGTGTGCAGACTTTTTGTGACTGCAGTCTGACCCAGCCTCTGTCACCACAGATAACATCATTTCTGTTTGCTTTACAGCTGGCTTAAAGGCTGGGGTCATTGGGTGTGGAGGCTTCGCGGCTTTCTCCGCTGCAATCGATTACTATCTGCGGTGAGAGTGACGGCCTGCCTGGAAGGACAGCCCCAGCCCAGGGTCAGAGCTGCTCTGAGGGGGGCGTTTTCTGCACAACCCCGGGCACTCACTTCCCACACCGAAGACATTGATTTTCCCTCCAGTGGCTGATGTCGTGAGGGCGCCGCCTGGCCGCTGCGTGCCTCCAGCCTCTGAGCAGCCACGCTCCCTGCTCCTGGACTCCAGCCAGGCCGTGCGGGGACGTGCGTGCTAGCCTCTCTCTGGCAGCTTAGGAGTCAGTGTGTTGACTTGTAGAAACTAAGCTCCACAGACTCAGTCCTGACCACCCTGGCCCTCCCATTGTTTGGTGCCGTGGGAGCAGGAGGGACTTCACACGGACGCAGGAAGCTGTTCCACCTGGGAACGCCACGTGGTCACCATCCCACGGGTCGGGGCTGGGCCAAGTGACCTTACGCCTTCCGGCCAATTATGTCATTGTGTTTAGTATTCTGCTATCCTTGTTAAAAATATGTATTTATATTACAGTTTAAATGGTTTATTTTTACTTTCAATTTTATAATTCCCCAAGAATGGTGCCAGGTAGCTCAAAGACTAAACTTCCAAAGGAGAGAAATTGAGAAAGCTCCTGAGGAGCGTGGGGTTGTTGGATTCTCAGGGCTTGTGCAGTGGTGCTGCCTTCACGGAGCCTGAGACGCTGGCCAGGGCATCCCGCCCAAGAAGCTGAGCCTTGCTCCATCCTAGGACATGCTGCAACCCACGTGTAAGTCCTGCTGGCCTCCTCCAAAAACCCTCCTGTGGGCTGGCCCGAACCTCTCGCTGCCGTAAGGCTTTGAGCACTGGACTAGGCCCAGCTCAGGACAGCATGTGACAGTCCGGCTGTCATTGCCCTGATGGCTGGCTGAATGACAGCGGGCACTGGCTAAAATCCGATGCTGCTGAGCGGCTGCTCACCTCCACCTTCATTCTCTGGTGTGTGTTCTATTATGTTAACGCAGTGCTTTTGATTTGAACTGGTAGCCTTTTTCTTTCAGCTTGTGTGCCATGGACACACAAAAAAATAGCCTTTAAAAAAAATTGGGATTTGCCCCAGGTTCTGCTTTACACTGGTGCTTTGGTGGCAAGATGAAGTTGATGAACTTGGGCTTTTGCTCTTGGGGCAGGCAGGTGGGCTTGGTGGGCGACGTGCAGTCCTGGCCACCTTCAGCCGGGGGGTTACATCTGCTTCTACTGTGCAGTAACCCCTCCACCTCTTCTTTCTTCTCCCTTGCCTGCTGTCTTCTAGCCCTCCCACCCATAACCAGATTTCAAAGACTGGGCTGAACAAGCAGGCGTCCCGAGTGTGTGTATTTGTGTCGTGAATGATAACATCATACCCAGCTGGTGACACCTTCCTCCGGCCATGCCCGCCGCTCCCTCTGGAGTGAGTGTGAGCAGTGCACAGGGCGCAGGTCCTTCTGCGGTGAATTCTACGCACTGCCCGTCCCGGTTTCGCAAGCACGAGGTGTCTGCTGCCGGGCTGCCCGGAGCACCCTTAGAGGTCAGGACGAATTCGGAATGGTTCTCTGCACTGTCCTAAATAAGTCCTCTATAAGCAGTTTGAGAGCAAGAGCACATGCTCCTACCTGGCACCTGCCGAAAAGATGACAGGACACCCAGCAGCTCCTCCCAGTCCACCCAGTGTGCGGGGTCAGCCTCACTGAACGGCCGAGTGTGAGACGCGCTGCCCTCCCGACTGCCTTGGCAGCGATGAGCCGTGGGGCTGTCAGTAGCTGTCAGTTCAATAAGCGGAGCATTGTCCACACTGACTATTGAATCAAGAGAGAAGATGAATAGTTTCCTGTTTTAGATGGCCAAGGAGTCAGTATGACCTCATAAACCAAACACTAATTTTCAGAGACATCTGTTCCTGATTTCCAGAATAAACACAGTGTCCGATGGCTGGGACTGGGGGGAGCCCGCATTAACCCCACCGGCTCTCCTAAAGGGAGGCTGGGCCCTCCGGCGGATGCAGCCTCGCTGCAAGCAGATTAGGCCAAAAGATGAGCCACATCCAAGGAAAGTGGATGGTTTCCAAGAGAAAGGTTTATGTAAAATAAGAAGCCTCCACTTAAGGGGACACATTCCCGCCATTTCTCTGAAGCATGCTGATGGCCATGTCCCTGGCAGGACACACAGCTGGTGGCTGACCTAGAGGCCTCTGTGAAGAGCAAGGAGAAGGCTTCTGCTCCCCTCCCTCAAATGACTACAGTCCCCATGGTCCATAGGGAAGCTCAAGGGGAACTAACTAGGTAAACAGGTTCCTGGGAACGTGCATCTGGATGCAGCCTTAAGAGTTAACCGCTGGACGGGCGGCCTTCGCTGGACCACCGGGAACACACACGTCCGCACCCCAGGGCCGAGTGGTGTGCAAATGTTGAGCTTTGCATTTTTTTATTAACATTTTCTCTCACGTGGTTTACATCAATTTATAATAATCTACATAAGTTGAAACAGAACAGACAAAAAATATATCCTTACCAACTTATTAAAGTCAAATATTAATGAAGGGTCCCATCCTACCTGTATCAGCAAAAACCAGCAGCCCGCGGTCGCTGCCAGTGAGGACAGGCCTCCCGGGGTTGCTATGGCCTGTCTGCTGGGCCTGTTGGCACAGCCTGCCCTGCTGGGCACGGGGGCCAGGGGTCCCAGGCTGCACAGTCCCTGCTTCTCAGGAGAATCCATGGGCTGTTTCCTTGGTGCAGCTTAGTCCAGGTCTGGTACCTGCCCCCTCCTCCACTCTAGGGGTCGAATTTATAAACATTCTGAGCCTTTTGCATTTCTCAGTCTTTCTAGCCGTCCTCCCATTGCACTGCCTACACTCGGGGGCTGCAGTAGCTACCTGACGCTGAGAAGTAAACACCCCTTATTTTGGGGAGGTGGGAGGACCCATGTTTGGCTGTAACTAGCTCAAGCTGGGCCTCCAGTTCATTACCATCAATGGCTTTGGAAGCAAGAGCCTTCCGTGCCACATACTCCTGAGTGCCAAGAAGAGACTACAGGGATGGGCAGATGCTGCGACCTTCAGGTTCAAGTTCTTTTCCCATCTCCTGTCTCAGGGAGCAGGGCTCCTAGCTAAGCTGCTAACTGGTAGCTAAATGGCCAGTATTTCCCTCCTCTTGGGCATCTCTTTCATCTGACGTGCACAGAATGTGTACCATTCTGCCCAAGATTGGGCAACAGGTGTAAACGATCAGAAAGGGCCCTGCTGCTCATCGAGCACGTGCTGCAGTGTGAGGGCCAGCCAACCCTTCTTTAAAACTTAGCCCTGAGCTCAAGCTGCAAGAGTGGTTCTCTCCAATCCTGAGAGCCAGAATCTCCTCTCTGCCACACAGGAGAACCAGGGAGCTTGTACTACAACTCAGTCCCCTGCAGCCCAGGAGTGTCTGCCCTTCCAGGTTGGTCGCTCCTGCTCACGTGGGAAGAAACAAGCATTTGGCTATACTTCTCATTCCTTTCCGGTACTGAGCAACGAGTCCCAAAGTTGGGAATGGGACCTGCTGATCCCTGACTTTGGAGCAGAGCATCAACATTGAGGGTCTCCAGCAAAACCCAATTCTGAGAGGCGGTACCTGTAACCCCTCATCCTTCCCCAGCTTCTTGAGTTCCCAAAGTTCGTCCGAAAGGCTGCACTGAGAAGCCAGGGTGGGGAGGCAGCACCCTGAGGGCTGGCTACTGCTGGACCACACCCGCCCTTGCCAGGCCCGGGAGCACACGTGGCCGCGAGAGCTGCCCCGTGGCAGTGCTCGGCTGTGGGGAATGTGAAATCTAAGGCAAAGGTACCACAAGGTACAGGAGGCGCCAGGAAGGGCTAGTCTTCTGGATGGAGCCTGCCCATGCCTGGACGCCCGCTTCAGCCGTATGAGCCGCCCTCCTGGAGGCCTAGCTCTGCCACAAAAGCCACGACAACTCCTCGCTGCCGACAGCATCTCCCCCCAACTCAGGACACCCGGTGCGGTGTGGCCTTCCTCCGATGTCCAACCGGCGTTGCCTCAGTGGCTGCCTCCCCCACCTCCCCAGAGTCTTTCCTCACCCCCTGGCAATAGCAGGTCACTCTTGAGTCTTCACACTCAAAGGAAACAGAACATGGAGGGGGGAAAGGAACTGAAAAGCAGTAGAAGAAACAGTCAAAATGCCTCACTGGTAGGCAGGAGACAGAACAGATAAACCCCAGAAATGGAGAATCTCAGGTGGAAAATTCCAGAAATCCACTCTCCAGCTCTGTGCTAAGCTGAGGATTAGTGTGAGTCTGTCTCCTTGTCCGACATTTGCACAGGCAGCAAGGCAAGTAGGTGCGCTTCCGCAGGGGGAGGGCCTGGGTGGGGAGCGGCGTGTGGCAGCCTCTGGCGGGCCGCCGCAGTCACCGCCGCCCAGGGCCTCAGAACTTCCACAGCGACGGAGTGAGAACCAAGGCTGCACATGCATGCGGGCAGGCTGGGGGGGAGTGAGGAGAGGGAGGAGGAAGCCGAGGGGAGGCTGCCAGGAGACTGTGATCTGGGAGCAGGGCCAAGAGAGGCGAAGCTGGCAGCGGTTACCGAACGCCAAATAAAAGCCCTTGGACTGGACTCAGGAGGAAAGAAAGTGTTGGAGGAAATGAAAGAACAAAGCAGGCCGTCTCTGTGCCCACACCGGGTCAGTCACTACCTTTTCTGCATGACAAACAGACATGAAATGATTCCCGAACGGCATGGAGCATTAGACGCAACTAGAGGGACAGAGGGCAGGGGCCCGGGGCGCGGCGCTGAGTCTGGGGGTGGGTCGGCTGGCTTTGTACAAGGTGGCACAAAAGATGCACGTATTCCAGTTCTTGGAAGTCTGTGTCCCTTGGAGTCTGGAGTGCTGGGTTTGGGAGTTTTCTGTTGTAGTCTTTCAAGTCTGTGTTGGGTGCCCCGACTGGAGGGGCTGGTTTGGCCACCCCCAAAGCTGCTCCCACCCGAAGGGGCTACACGTCAGTGGAGAAGTACAGTGTGTTCCGCTTCAGTTCTGCGAAGGAGATTGGGGGGTGCTGCAGGTAGTAGAGGAGGACCTGGACCTGTGGGGAGACGGGAGACTCAGGTGGGGCCCTTGTCCCCGTGGCCCTCCTCTGACCTGTTGAGGAGGAATGGTCCCTGGTCTGGGGTCCCGTCCGTGTTGCCCCCCTTCCCTCTCAGGCTGGCCCCTGCCACTTCCCCTTCCTTGGCAGTCCAGGTGTGTCTGCCCATTTGCAGCTGTAGAGGGCGCTACAGGGTAGAGGGTGAGGAGCCTGGGGCCACTTGCCAACCTGTCGTAAGCTGCCAACCTATCTGCAGAGGCTGGCCTTGGCTTGGCAGCCTGCCTCAGACTGGACCCTGCCCCAGTCTCATGGGGGGTCCCAAGGAAACTTCCTGACCCAGGAGGCATCCTAGAGCTCCCATGCACGAGGACAAGGCCCCAGTTTTTTCCTTCGCCCCGGGCTTCCCTTCTGAGGCAGAGGCACTCCCAGGAACACAGCCAGCACCTGGGCCCTGGTCTAGGGGCCTTAGTGTAACCTCTGGTT